CTGGGGCAGCTTCAGGGCCCCACTGTCCTTCCCGCAAAGGGCACTCCCAGCCTGAGAGCTGGGCGGGGACCCAGGCTCGCTGTGTGTGGGCTCCTCTCCCGGCCGCCCTGCCCACTCTGAGCGCAGACGGACCCCTGCCCCGAGACTCTTATTCCCATACGCCTCTGCCAGCCTTGCAGAGGGAAAGGGCAGTACAAGTACCGAAAGAAACAAGAAAAAGAAACATGTTCACGGTCTATACCCGAAGCAGCGGCTGCTAAAACATTTAACGCCGGACACCTTAGCAGGGGTCAGGGAAGCAGAGAAAGAAGAAGAGGCCGCAATGCTGTGAGCTGGGGCCCGTTCCTCACCCTGCCGGTTTCTCGGGGCAAGAACGGTGCCAAGATACTCTCTGTCCTTGAGTGAGCCACGTCACCTGTCGGGGCCTCCATTCCCTCACCTGCCACAGGGGCACACAAACAGCACCTACCCAAGGGCGGAGCCGAGAGGGACACAGACGCTGGATGTGAAGGCCTTGGGCCCAGAGGGAGGAGTCAGCGCGAGGGAACTCACACGGAGTGCCTGTATCCCATCCCGGCCCTTAGGAAAGTGGCTCGTGCCACCCTGACACTGCTGGGAGGAGTCCTGTGTGCCCCCGTCTTACAGGACAGCGGACACGCTCAGTGGGGGTCATGCCCCCAAGGTCACTGAGCTAGAACTTGACCTCGGTTCACTTCCTGGCTTGTGTTTGTCCCGCCCTAGACCCCAGGATCGTGTGGTCTTCTCCGGAAGCCTAGAAACAGGGTTGGGCAGCGGGCGTTGCTGGGAGGAAGAGCCCCCTACCTCGCAGGAGCGTCCAAGGTTCAGCAAGGCGTCGAGGAGCCAGGACCCAGTCCCAGCTCTGCAGCCAGTTAGCTCCCTGGTCCCTTCCCCCTGCTGAGCCTCAGTTTCCTCCTCCATAAAGCGGGGGAGGGGGGACCTCCTTCCAGCTGTAACAATTAGAGCACAAGATATCCATTTCTCGAACACTGCTGCTGAAACACACCCAAATCCAGATCGAATGCAGTGGCTTCCACCAGTGGCAGTAATGACGGGTTCCAAGAAGAGAAACTGGGTCCATTCGGACACATTCAGAGTCTTGCTCTGGGTGCAGATGCGGCGGGAACAGGGGCCACGGGGCAGAGGGGCTCAAAAACCAAGAAGAGCTGGAAGCTGAGGTGGTGGCGTCCCTGTCCCAGCCATGGGGCCAAGAATCCAGCCCCCGCCTCCGAGGAGGCTGCCACCCTTTGTGTAGGTGCCTCATAAACCTGCTTTCTACAGAGATTTGGAGCTTTTCCAAATGACAGACTCACCTCTCAGGGAATTCATTTTAATTATGAGATGCAAAAGCTTCAGGACATAAAGGCTGCATTTTAAAAGGCCCCTGGACTTTTGTATGTGATTGTTCACACTGATTGTAGGTGTTGATGATAACACAAATCCACATTGTTTGTAGAGACTTTAGTGCCCCAAGTGCGTTTGAATCTGTAATCTCATTTGATGTAATGAGCTCCTTCTGGGCCAGGCAGAGCCAGCGCAACCCCCACTGGACAGACAGCAGCCCAGGCACAGAGAGGAGGGACGGCCGGAGACACTGTCACCCTGTTCCTGCGGGGTCTGTGACCACTTCACGTGGAGATCCTGGGCATGGCCTCTCTTTACTTAATTGCCAGGATGTTTTTGAAGAAACACACTATAAATTACAACAGTAGTTACTATTTTCCCCAGCACTTGACTATTTACCAGGCATCATCCTGGAGGCTTGGGAAACATAACCAATTATTTCCTAACCTCAACCCTAACAGGGGGGTGTTATTTTCCCATCTTACAGATATGGAAACTGAGGATTGAAAAATAAAGCAGCTTATCCCAGGTGGAGTGGCCAGGAAGAGGCAGATGGAATGTGCATGGGTCAGTCTGACTCAACTGCCTCCCATTTAAGAAGAATATTGCTGTAAGCGACATTGCCGAGTATCAATTACTGATGTCATGTAAAATCAAACCCAGAAGGATCTCATGGGTGGGATCAGTTGTCCTGGCTTTATTTGCTAAGAGAACTATGGTTGGATTTTTTTTTCTTTTCCTTAATTTATACAATTGTATCCATCCTCTAAAAGCTTATTCTTAAACTTGAAAACATGGTGTCACAGCTGGTAATTTTAGAACGGGGTGAAGAGAGAAGGAAGAAACAGAGGCCAGTGGGAAGGCGGCGTGGGAGGAAGGGAGAGAAGCAGCTCCAAGTGGCTTTCAGGGCCAGCCAGGGCTTCCTCGGCCAGAAGCCAGCGGTGCCTCCCCCTCCTGCCTCCCTCAGCCGTTCAACCCAGTTGCCCTTGGTGAGTCGCCCAGGTCTACACAAAGACCCTAGGCATCTGGGAACCATTTAATTCTCTCGAAATCCGCTAATAATTGAAAATATATTTCCAACCATTTCCCCAAATTGGGAGAGAGAGATGAAGAGAGAGAGAGAGGGAGAGGTGGAGAGAGAGAGAGAGAGACTGAGACTCTTTAAACAAATATCCAGCAAAAACAAGCTTGATGGTGTCCAAGACTGATCCAGAACGGCATGTCTGAACATGAGTGGTATGTAATCAAACTGCCACTAACATGGAAGAGAGTCCTATACCTACAAAGGTGAAATCAATTCAAGCACCTTCTGCAGGACAACCTAAAACTAAAGTGAGGCTGTCTCCGGGTTCCAGACTCTTCCATGGGGGGGGACCACACAATGCATAGAAATGCACAGCAAGTCGCTCATCACCTGCTTCTCAGAGTGGGGCGTGCACAGCCCCCACGGGTGTGAGGTGGTGGCTGCAGGTGTGCAAAGCCACAGGGTAACCATGGCACGGTCACCAGCAGCACCAATTTGACCTAGTAAGTTGGGAAGCAGAGCGGTCCACATAGTGATGCCACCTGCACCTACATGTGTATTAGCTTGGGTTATCAAACTGTCCCGTCACCAAGATGGAAAAAGACACATCTCTTAGCTGTTGCATCTGATATGTGGTATTAGCTCTATCCAAGACAGCAGAATCTCCAAAATTCAACAGATTCCATAGAAGCCTGTCAACCGATAACTAACAAGAGGGCAGACACTTTGGTTTTCATTTGCTTTGCTTTTTGCTCTTCTCATGGCAACTTGAAACCGTATCTTGATGGGGAAATACAACATAACACAGTACACAAAGAAAGAAACTCTTGAAGTTGTACAAGAGGACACAGTCTCAAAATGTTTAGCTTGCAACAGATCGCTGTGGGCTGCACAGTAGGGAGTATGAAAGAATTCACTCTCTTCAGCCACCGAGACATTTTAGCAGACAAAGAATTCAGTGGTGGAAAAGAGAGATAACCAGGTTGGAACTTCAGCCTCAGGAGAACAGACGGAGGCCCCCAAACAGTCTCCACACAGAAGAGAGATCGCACAAAACAACAACAACGGAAAACCCAACACCCACTGTGCGCCAGAACGTGCTTGTGTCGCACGGAATCGATGATCTCGTTTGACCCCGATGGCAGTGTGACAAGGCAGGCACACGTGTTGCCATCTCCAGTCTACAGACAAGTAAACTAACGTGACCCACGTAACCAGTAAGGGTGGACAGATACTTTTCCTACGCCTTCACTGGGAATATGAAAATGACACACCCGCAAAGGCTGCAGGGAATTGCACCCTAAGTCAGCAACAGATTAAACTCGCATCTGTTTCGGCAGCTCACGCCCGGGTCCGCGCTGGCCTGGGGTCGTGAGTCACTGCCGAAGGGCAGCAGAGGCAGCTGGGCGTCTGTGGAAGTGTTCAGACTCGAAAAACAGGTGATCGCGCATTCTTTCCGCATGTGCGAAGCATGAATCGAGCCGTTTATGAAATGCCTGCGGCTGTCTGCCAGGGGACACAGGTACTAATTTAAAGTCTGACCTGCCCCGCTCCTACACGGGCACGCGTGCATGAGTGCGCACACGCACACACACACACCCCAGAACAGCCAAAGGTCTGGGGTACTTCGAAGCTTGTTCACAGTGTGTCTACGTATGTCCACGATACCTGCATCTCCCCAGAAGGATGAGACGTTGGGCAGCAGCTTCTGCACAGCCCTAGGAGGCATGTCACCTAGGAAGGAACCGGCAAGCACACTGTCCCCAGTCGCAATTGTCATTTACCCTCCTCTAATCTCAAGACAGATCTCCGTGGAGCGTGGCTGCTGCCAGTGACCAGCCAGCCTCACTTCAGAGATTGAATCAACGTGGACCCCACTGGCCACAAAAGGTCATCAACAAGAGAGGTGGTTGCCTCGAGCTGAGAAGGTGGGGTATGATGCCTGGTCTACAGGGTTCTCAAATTCACTGTAGCCATGGTGACACAACTCTGTGAGTGTACCGAAAGCCATTTGACTTGTGCTCTTTAAATGAGTGAATGACATGGCATATTAGTTATATCCCAATAAAGCTGTATGGTTTGTTAAAAAAAAAAAAAAGATAAGCCCAGTTGAAAGCAATGCAGTCAATCCCTTTTACAACAGAGCTTTTAGTCATCTCAGGTGCTACGTTACCTATATATAAAATGAGAATGGCTGTTTGCTTCTTTTTTATTTTATTTTATTTTTTTTGAGACAGAGTCTCACTCTGTAGCCCCAGCTAGAGTGCAGTGGTGTCATCATAGCTCACTCCAACCTCAAACTCCTGGGCTCAAGCGATCCTCCTGCCCCAGCCTCCTGAGTAGCTGGGACTACAGGCATGCAACACCCCACCTGGCTATTTTTTTTCTATTTTTAGTAGAGATAGGGTCTCACTTTTGCTCAGTCTGATCTCAAACTCCTAACCTCAAGAGATCCCAGACTGCCTCGGCCTCCCAGACTGCTAGGATGACAGGCGTGAGCCACTGCACCCGGCCTGCTTCTTTTGTACATAAGGACTTGAGTGTTGTTTTAGGACTGCTCTCCTTTGCAAAACAGCAAGTGTGTCTGTGTCTAAGACTGGTACATTTCACTGACCTTTCTGTTCCTTCTGCACGTCTGGCCTCCTCTGAAGTGACTTCCCCTGTGACTCTTGGAGCACCTTTCTCAGGAACCGAAGGTAAGGTGGCTGGGCCAGGCCCCAGGCTATTTCTTGGATAATGAAAGAGAGCAATGGATAGGATAATGTGGGTGGTATGACAAGCATTTCTCCCCCAGTCCTATTGGAAACAGTGGATTTCCCAATTAAAGCTTTAGTGGCTACTATGAAAAATCCTTACAAAAAAATGAGCTCCAGGCTTTTGAATCATTTAGGCTCCCTCTGCCTAAATAAATCCAGATTCAAAAGCAGATGTGTCCAGACTCCCCCAAAACACATGACTGGCTGTAACTTATCACCCAATAGCACACAGCCAGCCTGTAAACATTTCACGCTTTTCCCAACAGTTTATGAATTAAGGAGTGCAAGAAAAGGAACAAGACTGGTTAAATAGCTCCCAGCCTCCAACCATTTCTCGCACATTTTTCAGAATCTCAGGACATCCACAGCGGGCAAACAGGTACATTTACACAGTTAATTATGGAAAACTTAGCTTTTTCAAAACCACCCATCTCTCTGCAATTGACTTTTAAAAATCAGGCTAGGAATCACCTTTGAACCCAACCCACATTCTTGTGGGGATTTACTCTTTTAAGTACCTGCCAGCGTGGAGCTGTTCTGGAGCCAGGTGTCCCAGCTGCGGGTCCCGAGCTTCACCAGGTTCTGCAGGTGAGGAGACACACACCTTCCCGTCCCCGGCAGGAGCAGGGTGCTCAGGCCCCGGATGCTCCTCAACCTGCTGGTGCCCGGCTGGGCTGTCCCCGCAAGGGGCGGCTGCACCCTCCATCGCTGGCGCCCCAGCAGAGCGGCCTGGGTCCTGACAGGCCCCTGACGGTGCCAAGTCGCGAGCTGCAGCCAAGAATGCCCTCGTAGTACCTGCTGCAGGCGGGTCGCCCGATGCACGTGCCCCTGTCTCAGCCATGCTCAACATGACGTCACCCTCTGCTTCCCCAGCAGCTCCTGCCACCGTGTCAGGCTGCAGGGGTGTGTGTGACACCTCCCCAGCAGGTGGCTCAGGGACACGCTGGTTTCCTGGGGCATTTTGCGTTTCCAAGATGCTGGCAGCAGCTCCAGGACTCCTCTCGCTCCCAAGAGTGTCAGGGGTTGAGGGCTCACTGTTGGCCTCGGGCATGACCAAAACATCCCCATGGGCAGAAGGGGCTTCCTGGGCACAGGTGGACCTTGGAACATCACCTGGACCCTCTATGGGGGCAAAGTCCCTGGTGCCACCTTCTCTCTGTGGACCGTTGCAGACAGATGTTTCCTGGTGCTGTTTTCCAGAAGGAATTCTGTCTTGGGCCAAGGCCTCCTCTCTGTGGCTCTGAGGAGCCCCCTGGGCTGTAGTGTCTTTCTCCACAGGGGTCTCCTGAGTAGCAGCATGTGAGGCAAGACCTGAAGCCAACTCCTGCCCAGCGCTCCCAGGCCGTGAGTGAGCCTGGCCTCCCAGGCCCGGCCGGGCTTCCCCAGCGCCCTCTGGCCTCTCACCACCCCTCAGTACTGGTGGGACACCTGCCGTCTCCGCCCCCACACTGGCACCGGGCAGGCTCTGCTCTGACGCCAGCCCCACCGGACCCGGCAGCTTGTCTGGAACTAGATCCTGGGCAGGGAGACGGGCAACCTCAGCCTCCACAGCCAACTCTCGCTGCTTCTCCTCCCACGGTCCAGGGGGAGGCACAGGGAGAGAGGCGACGCCCACTGCTTGGGGCCCATCCAGAAGCTTCTCTGGGCTCAGTGGCACAGCGAGGTCCTTGCCCACCACACTCCTCCCAGCTCCCGCCTTGTCTCCAGGACCACTCAGGGCTCCGAGCACAGGCTTCTCGAAGATCTTGGCAATGTGCTCCCTGAAGTCAGGGAAGCCAGCGATGGCGCCGGCTGGTGTGGAGCTGGCGTCCACGCCACCTGAGGCGCTGCTCCTCGGAGCCTGGGGAGGCTTTCCCGTCCTCCCCCCGCTGCCCGCTGTCTGTCCTGCTACATCACCCGCCAAGCCCTGCTCCCTGGCAGGGCGCGCTGGAATCTCGTGGGGCTTGGCGCCTGCACCCGGAGCTGCTGACACTTCCCCCTCCCCTGTCGCCTGCCTACCCTTGGCCAGAAGCGGCATCCTGTCCAGGTAGGGCACAGAGTCCACAGGTCCCCCCGAGGCTGCGGCTTTGGGGCTTCCGCTGCTGCCCTGCACAGCAGAGATCCCCCCACCAGCAGCCCCTGATTGCGAGAGGGAGGCGAGGGGGCCAGCGGGCAGCCTCACAGAGGCGGCATTTCCTGAGGCAAGCAGGGGCTCCCCTGTGGGACAGGGGCTTTCTCCTGCAGCTCTGGGGCCTGCGGAAGCAGCAGCTGTCACTCCACTGTCTCCCGCTCCTTTCGGGGCAGCATCGTTGATAAGCAGGTACGGGGTGTCAGGAGCAGCCTCTTCGGGGGGCCCGGATGGCAGGAGCCTCTTTGGGTCTGGGACGGCCTGGTGTGCAGAAACACCCACGGCGCCCCTGGGAACGCCCCCCAGCTCTCCGCCCGGCAGCGAGGCGCCCTGGCAGCTGGCCTCGGGCTCCTCAACTTGGCGAGGCTCACCTGGGGCAGAGCTAGAAGCTTCCTCCCCGGAGGCAAGGCCGCGCTCAGTCTGAAGGAAGCCACCACTCGGAGCAGCTTCTAGTTCCTCGGGAGCCTTCTGCATCCTGGGGTCTCCTTCATCAGCGGTCCCCCCAGTCTCCGCGGGCCCACCTTCGCCACCTCGCTCTCCAGCTGATGGGAAACTTCCAAGAGGCTCGGCGGCCTCAGCGCCAGCTGCTGGGGCAGGGCACTCCGCTCTCTGCTGCAGAGTTGGCACTGCGTGCTGCCTGCCCTCCTGGGTTTCATCACATGCCGGCCTGTCTGGGGCATCCTGGGTGGGTGTGACGCCGGGCGCCGGGGCTGGCGGGCAGAGAGCTGCATCCAGGAGAGCTACTGAGTCAGGCGGGCAAGGCGGGGCCTCCGCTGTGCTCCTGCCGGTCGTCTCCCTCTTACTCAGGCCCCAGAGCGGGGGCCAAGCGTCAGCTCCTTCAGAACCTCCCGCGTCCCTTCGACATGCTTCTTCATGCTGGCTGCCTGCTTTCAAAGCCTCGGCCGGCTCCTGTGGGGACTTGTTCGGCTCCTGCCCGGCGGCGCAGCAAGTTTCCTTTCCACTCAGGTTCCCTGCCGGAGGAGCGCCTTCCAAGGCATCTGCTGCAGGAGGCGAGCCCCGCCAGGACCGACCCTCTCTGTGCGCTGCCTCTTGCCCGTTCTCCCCCGGCGCAGCCACATTCTGCCTCGTCGGAGCGGACCATCCCGAATCCTCTGTCACAGAACCTTCCAGAACTGGGTCTCTGGGAGATGAACTTGGAACATCAGGCAGGCTGTCTTTGGGGAGCTCACTGTGAAGGTCTGATCCCAAAGCCTGCTCCTGTCCTCCGTGAGTGGGCGAGCGCACACCCTCCGGAGGCTCCGCAGAGGAAGCTGCCCCCTGGTCCCCGCGGCCTGGATCACTTGGATAAGTCTCGTTCCCACTCGCAGGCGGCTGGGCCTTCTCCCCGGGCGTCTCAAAGGCAGCTGCGTCTGGGTCGGACGGGGTTGGCTGGAGACGGTTCTCAGGGGATGGTGGGGGCCTCTCAGACGCAACTCCTCTTGTCCAGCTGTCCCCGGGGTTCTCCTGCCGACCTCGCTCCGGGCTGAGCGTCGTGGGCCCAAGGTCCGCTGCCCAGTTCTCCCCGTCCGGGGGATGCGGCACATCAGCATGCATTTCCTGTCCGGCTGCATCATGCCCCGGCCCACGGGGTTGAGCCGGGGGTGTCGGCAGGCCCTCCCCATCACAGCTGCCGGGCCTCTTCATTCCCGAAGGGCTCTCCGCCTCCTGGGCGTTGGGTACAACCTCGGCAGCAGCAGTCGGCAGGAAATCTGACTTCTCAGATTCAAAAGTAGGAAGAGCCTCCATTCTTCCCGATCCTGCCCTGCCCTGAGAGGTGTCAGGACATTTGGGCTGCAATCCCAGCCCCTCCCAGACAGCGCTTTCGGGAACAGTGGGCTTCCCAGCTTCATCCGGTACTGGGGGCAGGACGGGGTCCTCCTCGTGGAGCTCGGGCAGGGATTGGGATGCATCGGCCATCGGCCGCCACGCTGCCTCTGCTGATGGAGAGTCGTGCCCACCCGCCTGCCCGGCACCCCCGTTTCCGGGTGGCTGTGCCGAGCCTGAGCTGGACAGGACTCTGCTCTCCACGTCACTGCTTAGCTTTGAGACTTCATCTTTGTCCACCTCCAGATCAGGCTTGCAGCTGAAGGCCTGAGAGCCTGCTCCCTGCAGGTTCCCGGGGTCTGCACCACCAGGTGGCTCTGGGGCTTCTTCCTGTCCTCTGGGGTCATCTCCGGGTGATCTGGTTTCCTCTTTAGCCCCAGCTGGGCTTTTGGCATCTTCGGGGGCCTTGGCATCATCCTTTGGCCCCTGCGACCTTCCGGTACTTTCATTTGATGCACTGGGAGCAGGAGGAGGCAGCACCCCTTGTTGGACCCCGTGGCTTTGCTCCCTGTTCGAGAGCTGTCTCTCCTCCTGGGGTGAAGGGGCAGGAACCTCTCCGGGGCTCCCTTCTGGATGCTCTCCTTTGCTTCCCAGATCTGATGCACACTTCTCCAGTCCCACCAACACTGCATCTGCCAGCTTTTTGCCTGGATCTGCAGAAACTGGCATCTCAGGCCCAGAAGCCATCTCCCTGGGTCCTTCTGTGGCAGCAGAAATCAGAACAGCTGGATGTGGAGTGAGGCTTGAAGCGGGAAGCGTGTCCTCTGTCGGAGCAGGTGGGGAGGGCTCGACGTGCACAAGCAGACCCCCCTCAGGCTGGCCATCTGCTGCCACACAGACAACTTGACTGGGCTTGGTTCCTGGCGTGCCGGTCTGCGGGTGACCCTGAACATCACTGGCATCCAGAGTCCCCTTCCAAGAGCCCCTGGTCCCCGGCGCTGGGGCAGGACCTGGTGTGTCCCGGGACAGCTCTGCATGTGGCAGACGTGCTCCCCTGTGCTGCTGGCAGTTCTCTCCGGAAGCAGCGTTCACTGCAGTTTCCTGGGCAGCCCCCACATTGCTCCTAGTGGGACCGCAGGCCCTGAGAAATTCCAAGTCGTCAGCTAAATACTGAGGCGGTACCTCCGCGTGGTGTTTTTCTCTGTCAGAGGTGCTTGGGGCTGGATCTTGTGGGATCAGGGTCTTGGGTTTGAGGGATGACTCCTCCAGGACAGCTGAGTGCTCCTTGTCCAACTGGGCTGCAGCAGGGGACTCAGGGGCCACTTGTGCAGCAGCCACCCCCTCCCTGGACTTTGCTAGGGGAGAGCCATCCGCAGCCTCTTTCCTGGGGGACTCCAAACCGCCAGGCTGATCACCCTCTCCACACAGCTGCACCATCATCGGCTCTCCAGGAGGGACTGGTGACGTTCCAGCCAACTGGTCACTGCAACTGGGGAGGGAGGAGGACTTCTGTCCCTCTTCCTTCAGCTCTTTCTCTCTTCCGGCACTGGGGACAATGGCAACCACAAGGTGCTGAGTAGAGCTGTCCCCCTCGGCAGGAAACGCTGCCTGGGCATCCCCTGGGGCATTTGGAGATGGTTCCCTAGGGGGGTGGTGAGCGTGAGGACCATCTTCGGGTGCCGCTGCTGGGGGGCACTCGGCGAAGGGCATGGAGGACGGGAGGTTCTCCTGCTCCCAGCAGGGGCTCCCGGGTGGGCTGGGCAGTGAAGAACCTTCTGGCCCCCCGGCTCCCTGTGGGCGCTTCCTTGGCTCAGTCAGCTCTGGGGACACGATGCGCGGATCCGGGCCGGCAGAACTCTCAGAAGCGGTGCGGGAGCCTCCGAGCCCAGCGCTGCCAATGACGAAAACATTTAATGTTTCTTTGGTTCCCGTGGACGCCCAGGACAGAGCCACATCACTGGCAGAGTCACCCCCACCCTCCCCGCAAAAGACCACCAGGTGCCCCAACCGCAAGCACAATGTCCCCATGCAGCTCACTCTCCCCAAGGAGCCCCCCGCTCTGCCCCACCCCTCCCACAACCTTTCCGCGTGCGCAAACCAGCATGGGGCTCGCACACCATCAGCTCAGGGCTTCACCATGCCGGGCAATAGTGAAGAGGGAGGTGTGGGAACTCATTCATAATAGCCTAAAATGTGGGAAACTCAGAAAGTCTTTAATAGAAGCCAACCATAATGGGAGGGGTGTGAATCAGTTCTGTGTAGGTTACTAGGGGCTCCCAAGCACTCCCGGGGGGCATTAGATGTTCAGAAAGAAGGCACACATTAGCAAGCCATGCTTTGAACTACAGAGCTGGTCCTGATAATATTAACCTGCTTCTTCACGCTTAGCAGGTGGTACGGTGAGAGGCATAATCCAAAAACCAATTCTATTGAGCTGTGGGATTTCTGCATGTGACCTTCATATAACTCTTGGGAGCTGAATCACCTTCATGCTCATATCTGTCTTAACTTCAACACACTTAGCTGGGCAGTGTGTGAAAAAAACTATGAAACGTGCAAGAAACTTGGAGGAACTTACTTCAGAATTACAGACTTGCTATGGATTATTATGGACTTACTATCCAGTCACTGTAAAATAGCTTATCACATGCTATATTTGGACTATCTTTTTCAATTCTATATAGTTTTAATTAAGTGCATTTTTTAATTTAAAAAAATGATATATGGCTAATACAAAATGTGGAAAATGTAGAAAAAAATAAGGAAAAACACACCCTACATGCTTACCACTTTCAGTGTTTTAGTGAATTTCCTTTTTTATTCCTATAAAAATTTTTAAGGAGTTTGACTTTTGTTGTTTTTACATAGCTGTGATTCTACATGCTTGTTATGATTCTATATACTTCTAGTAACAAGAGAAGTTGCTCAAGGCAAAGTTAACAGATGCATGGCTTTTCTAAGGCTTTTACCATTTTCTTTAAAGTTGTTATAGGGAGGAAAACAACAAAGGACAATTTATGGGCTCTTTTCATAGCTGTTACATGCACACACATTCCTACGCACATAGACCCACAGTGTTCTGCACGTGGCTGAAGGGAAGATTCCATCCTCCATGTCCACTACCCAAACCCCGGTGTCCCATGCCAGGCGGGCACATGCACTCATCTATGAGGGATGCAAACAGTGGGGAGGGGAAGTGCATTCCTATGAAAGTTTGAAAATATGTGCTATGAACTGAATTGTGCCCCCGACCCCTTAATCTATATGTTGAAACCCTAACCCCCACCGGGACTGTGTTTGGAGACAGGGCCTTTAAGTAGGTACTTAAGGTTAAATGAAGTCATAGTGGTGAGGCCCTAATCCCACAGGACTGGGTCCCTACAAGAGGAGGAAGAGATGCCAGGCGTGCACACCTATGCAGCAAAGGCCATGTGATGACACAGGGAGAAGGGGTCTTCTGCAGGCTGGGAGGAAAGGTCTCACTGGAAACCAACCCAGCCTCCAGAATTATGAAAAAATAAAGTCATGTTGTTGAAGCCACCCAGGCTGCGGTATTCTGTTACGGCTGCCTGAGCAGACTATTAAAATAGGCATATGGGTATTTATGGTCCTGTCCTTTCAACATTTTTGAAGTTACAAATTTTCCCAAACAAAAAGTTGGGAAAATAGTATAATAATAGATGAAATTCACTGGATATCAGTGCTTTGCATATATTATCTTGTTTAACCCTGCTGACGGCCGTGCCCAGTGGTGTTACTGTTGCCATTTGCAGACCAGAACCCGGGAGAACGGGGAGGCTGAGCATGGATCTCAACTAGAGCATCTGACTCCACTGGCCACGGTCCACTTACGCACCCTGCTACGCTGCCTCCAAGAATAAAAACTTCCAAGGAGGGCAGGAGGCTCTTCGCCCAGCCCCACTCCAGCCTCTCTGCCCGGCCCCTCACTCCGAAATGCATGCCACGTTCTTTGACACCCTTGAAGGAGCTGTGCACACATCACCACCACGGCAGTCACCCTCATCTAACGCCTGTTCCTGCACAGGGACGTGGGAATGGCGCCTGGCTACTGTCTCAACCAGGGTAGCATTTTCTGACCCAAAAGCACAGCTGACAAGGACAAAGAAGAGAAAACTCAGAGGGTCACCAAGCTCAGATGGGCCCTTGGAGAGCCCGGAGTGAGCTGCCGTGCAAAGCACATCGACCTGGCCTTCTGGAAGGCACCAGGCCCAGGAGGAAACCCAACCGACCAACCCCTTCAGCACCCAGAGATTTTCCTTTCAACAAGCACTTTGCATTTCCCTGTATCCACCCACTAACCAGGGTCTAACGGTTCAGCAGGTGGGGAGGTTAATGGCGTGTAACTCAGAAGTGAAGTCCTCGGACATCGGAACCCGGCATAGGCCCCTCCAGCCCCCTTTATCATGCCAGAAATAAAACAAACCAAGCTTCGTCCTTGTCCCTGCCCCTGACAGTTCCACACACTTGGGGAGAGTGCGTGGCTTCCCTCAGGCTGACTGAAGTCAATATCATCTGGGACAAGAGGATAAATTCACTCTACTTTTGGCGTCTTGAAAACATGTGCGGTCTAATCAGGAAGCAGCCAGGAACAGATTCTGCACGGAGTCTGGGACACACAACAGCTCCCCCCAAATAAGAACCCAGACGCTGGTTTGTTCAGCGTAAGCTGAGCACCAGCAATCTCTTTGATTACCCATCAGAAGCAATTTTTAAAGCCAGATTAAAGCCACTCACCAGGAGCAGATTTGCCTAAGGGCAGGGAAAATTCTGAGACCTGACCTGCTGAGGGCTCTGCATTAACTGGCGCTTACATAATGTCCTTAGTGCTTCAGCATCGAGTCCAAATGTGTGGGGCAGAGGCTCTGCTCAGCATCCACAGGCCAGCGCCCTTGATGGGAGGCGGGGCAGGAGGACTGCAGACGCCCACCGCACAGCCCGGGGGACGCATGCGCTGCACCAGCGGCCTGGGGAAGGGTGATTTGGGGGAGCCAGGGTCTGAGCAGACGATGGGGACACAGATGGGTTCCTAGATGCATAGTTCTGAAAACACACAAGTGTGCAATGTGCCACGCTTAAAGGGAGGAAGGAAGCCAGCCAGCTGCAGAAAACCCAACCATGGCCCCTGTACTAGGAGGCTTTTAGGAGACCAGCAAATCTGTAAAGCAAAATCATGAGGATGCAGAATTGCCACATACTGAGCATCTACTAAGGCGAGGCCCTAAGTGCCTAAGTGCCGTGCTAGGCACTTCTCAGTTATGGTTGCGTTTAATCTGCACGACAGCCTGGTAGAGGGGAGGTCCTCCGTTGCATCCGTAAAGACATCTTCCCAGAGAGGGTCAGGCTGGACCTGTTGGTGGCAGGGTGGAGCTCTGCAGCTGCCCTCTGTTGCCTGTACTTGCTGCTTGCACCCACCTCCCACCTGGGCAGGTGCCACAGCCCTTCTCCCATCCAGTCTGGCCCCTTCATTCTGTTCTCCTTGCTGTAGCCAGAGCAACGGCTTAGACGTGAAACTCTGCTCCTGTCTGCCCCCGAGAAAACTCTCCACTGGCTTCGCTTTCCCGTGAGCTGTGGCCCCGACCTGCCTTTCTTGCCTGGTCCCACAGAGAGCTCCCCAGCCCTGCCTCTGCCTGCAGCCCAGAGCCCTCTGCTCCTCCCAGAAGTTCCCGGCCCCAGTCTTCACTTCTCAGTGACGCCTCCCTGGCCTTGGCTCCCGGGGAAGATCTTTCACAGGCTACCTAGCCACAGTTGCCATCAGCATGGTCAGTGACCTTCCCCTCTGGAGTATGATGCAGGCTGGGTCCTTGTCTCCTTCCAATACTGTGTCCCCTGTGCCTGGCTTATGACCAACGCTCAACACACGTTGTTGGATGTTGAAGGTACGAGTGAATGAAAGGAAGGATGGATGGATGGGAGGACAGAAAGATACAACTGAACCCAAACAAAGCAAGGGTACTTAATATGCAGAAATGCTTCCAAATCATGGTTGTTTCACTAGAAGATTAGGAAAGTTCTCTCTTCCACACAATCCCAGCAATTTATTAGTCCAAACCTCTCATTATAGATGAGGAAACTGAGGCCCAGAAAGACCAGGCAAAGCGCTTTTTTCCTAAATGCTTCTGTAGAACCAGTGAGGTTGAGCAGCACTTCTCAACCATAGTCCCCGTGCGCACTGGTAGGTCTGATGAGCGAGGGCATGTCTTGCAAGTAATTTGTGCCTAATTATAAAGTACGTAGTCTGTGAATGATTTGTCTGAAAATTACTGTAATTCAAAAGATTAGACGATATCCCCACACACCATCGCTGTTACTCACGGCATTCCGACACGCTTTCTGGGAGGAGAGCCAGGCTGGGATGAAGCCCGTGGGTTAGTGCTGTGGTTTGAACGGCCCCTTCGAGCTCCTGTTGAAACTCACTCCCCACTGTGGCAGTATTGGGGGGGTCTTTAAGAGGTGACTGGGTGTTGAGGGCTCTGCCCTAACGAATAATCTGTTCATGTATCAATGAACTAATGGATTAACGGGTGTCCATGAGGGTGGGACCAGCAGCTGCACAAGAGGAAGAAGAGAGGCCTGAGCCAGCACACTCAGCCCCTCCCCACCTGATGCCCTGCGCTCCCTGGGACTCTGCAGAGAGCCCCCACCAGCGGGAAGGCCCTCTCCAGATGCGGCCCCTTGACCCTGGACTTAACCTCCATAACTGCAAGAAATCAATTATTTGTCCTTGTAAATGACCCAGTTTCAGGTATTCTGTTATAGCAACAGAACACGGCCTAAAACAGACTACAGCCCCGGGGATCTACCAACTGAATACACGTCAGTAGCGTCGACAGCTGCAGCAAAGATGAGGGGGTTTGAGGGCTCCCCACATTC